AATACAATCAGTAATGCCAACTGGTTCCAAAAGTTTGTTGTCAAGAAACACTACAGTTGTTTCTCCTGATTTCATTAGACCATCAAATTACACTACAGCTGATAATTTCATTCCCTGATGCAAAAAAAGTAATTTTTTAAATTGAAGCATAGTTACTGTACACTATTATATAAGTTACAGGAGTACAATACAGTGATTCACAATTATTAAAGGTTATACTCCATTTATAGTTATTATAAAATATTGACTATATTCCCCCTGTTGTACAGTATATCCTTGTAGCTTATTTTATATCTAATAGTTTGCACCTCTTATTTCCCTACCTCTGTATTGCCCCTACCCACTTCCCTCTCCACTGGTAACCACTAGTTTGTTCTCTATATCTGTGAATCTGCTTTTTTTGTTATATTCAGTAGTTTGTTGTATTTTTTTAAATTCCACATGTAAGTGATATCCTACAGTATTTGTCTTTCTCTGTCTGACTTATTTCACTTAGCATAATGCCCTCCTAGTCCATCCATGTTGCTGCAAATAGCAAAATTTTGTTCTTTTTTATGGCTGAGTAGTATTCCATTGTGTATACATACCACATTTTCTGGAAAAGAAGTAATTTTAATACTAGAATAGCAATTCTGTTTAGATCCTATTTAGTTCATCATATTTATAATCTTATTCTAAATTGGCTAACTTTGTCACTAAGTTTAGTGTTTGTTGAACTCTGCTCGTTTTCTCAGCCTGTTATTCTAGCTTCGAAAGATAGAATAATAATTACATTCTACTGGCTCTTGCTACACATGTAATAAATATTTATGTAGAGGAATCTATAGAAACTGTATACTTTAGGCATTAGTTTTAAAATTTTGGAATGGTAGATCTCCATATGCTAAAGGATGCCATCATGAACTGGCAGAGTTCCTACTATGCAGTCATAAACTGGAGAATCTGGTACTCCAAGTGTTACTCGGCTTCCCTGCCAGACACAAAATCTTACCTTTATATACCTTAATAAAGTTAGTGTGCAGACCTATTAAAAATGACATTTCTGGTACTCTCTTCTACCAAGAAAGTAGAATAGGCACTTAATTTCTGAATGGTTCACCTTTGTTAATTTGTGAATTAGGAATGATGTGTTCTTTCTACTATTGTAGCAGTATTTATTGAGAGCTTATTCTGTTTCAGGTACACATTTTTCACAGCCATCATATCAGTAGTTATTCCCATTTTATAGATCAAAACACAAGGGGATCACACTTTTCCTAGGCCATGCAGTTAGGCCTAGACAGAAGTCAGATGGCTTGACTCCATACCAGTGTTTTAACATTTTCATGATTGGTTATCAAATTTGGCTGTACTTCAAAAGCATTTGAGAGCTTTACCAAAAAAAACAGCCAGCACAGGCCTGGGAATGGGCCCCAGACTAATTAAATCAGAACCTCTTGAGGGGTGAGGTTTCAACATTGGCATTTAATAGTATTGTTAAAACATCTTTGGTGAGTCTAATGTGAAACCGGGTTAAGAACCACCACCTTGTAATTATATTGCTTATTTTAGAATTAATTTTACTTAATTTGATAAAGTAATCTGATAGTAGGAGATAAAGCACGTATAAAGACTTAGGGCTAGAAAAGAACCATGGCAGAGATTTTACATACCTTCCTACATAAATGAAGCAACTTAATATATATGATTTTTTTTATACTAGAATTATTGGCCATACAACTTAATATACCAGAAGTAATGGAGGCCATTTATAAGGAGAAATTCAGAAAACTCTAAAACTATAAAAGTACACACAGTTTAATGAGTCTTGTTTCTATATGGAATTTCAGACTTCAGTAATATCTCTAACTTTTCCAAGCTTTAGTTCATTATGATGTGTTTTAAAATGTTTGTCAAACTACTTATATTTTAATCATAAATATGGTACACATGCATAATTATAATCTTTTATAATAAAATAGTCAATAAAATGTTTCCATACTCTTATTAATTTTGAGATCTGGGTGATTCTGTTATAAATATAGATGAAACTATTATGAATGCAGACAGATATGTAAATAGTTGTATTCATCACATCTAATTTCATTGGTTATGAGGTTATAAGAACATAAAGTAACATTTAACTTAATCTCAATTACATGTCTAGTTATTATCCTGTTGTGGGATAAGAGAATGAGAAAATGTATCATGCTTGTGAACAGAAGGGATTAAATTAAGATTACCATGAGACTTCATCCTGAATCTCCTGAGCAAGCATGCTTACCTCACATTTATAATGTTCTCTTAATGAAATGTGGTTATTAAACTCAACACAGAGTTCTAAATGCAGGAGTTAGACAACCAAGCTTGGAATGGGTAGAATAGTTTGTTCATGGGAGTTGTTTTTAAAGCATGCCATTTGTAAAGCAAAAAAAAAATATTTTGGTACACTGTTCCTTTTTTGTATGTTAGAACCTTTTGTAAAAATCACAGAATTTCAGAGTCAGGAATGGAAATTCCTTTAGTTATATAGAAACTTAGAGAGGCAGCTGTGTTGAAGGTTATACAACTATATACAGCTAGTGACAGAACTAAAACCCCAGAAAGTTGTCTCCATTCCCTGTTCCTCTTTGCACTCTATCAGATTGCTTATTTACCTGAAGAGAAAACCCCAGATTTAAGAAATCTCTTTACGGCTCCAAATTTCTTTCTTTCAAGCTCTGTCTTTCCAGACCACCAAACATTAAATGAAATACACACACACACACACACACACACACACACACACGTATATATATATTCTCAACAAACAGTTTTTATTGAAAAGTCAAGGCAGTATAATAGCACTGAATACTATCTTTCTGGGATAGCAATATATTGTGTTTGTTTGTTTAAACATTTGTCACCCTCCTCCCCGCCCCCAATAAAAGAATGTTTAAGTGGGTAAAACTCTGTAAAAATATAAGCCCCGGAAATTAGAAAAATTTCAAGGAGAAAAACCATTTAATATTTAATTCATTGTAGATTGTTTATAGGAAGACAGTTAGTTTTGCTGATTATCCAACTCACATCTAGCTTTCAATTCTGGGAAGGTCCCTTGAAACCATCAGTAATGTCATGAGAGAAATCATGTGGTAGGTCTGATGATGTAATAAGAAATAGAACACAGGAGACGGTAAGAGTGGCCAAGATGACTTTTCTTACATGATAATAGGGTGGATTCTTAACTACTGACATGGTCACACCCCTGCTGAAGGCAGACAAGGCTTGTTAAAGGCATCGAGCCCACGGTTTTAGGCCCATCCTGCGTGCAGCAGGGCTGTGTTGTTACCACCAGTCCTCTCCATGGAGACAGTACACACCATAGCTGCTCTTTCATGTATATCCTTGGCATGGCTGGTCGTTGCTTGGATAATAAAGCAAGGTCAACCTGTATTTTTGGTATTATACCGAGTTCAAGACCTCATTCCCACCAGTTTTTGATTGAAGACCAGTCGTTTTGGTTTAGCCTAGCTCAAATAGCAGCAAAGTCTGACTCTAGTCAGGTTAATGATGTTTTGCATCTACCTAAGGGAAAAAATAATATTCCTTCTCCTCCCTCCCATTTGTTTAAGCAAATATAGGATAAATGTTGAGTCTAAGAAAATCCTCAAGTCTTGAAGAAACCCGACGTAACTCTAAGACTTAATTCCTTCCCAAGACTATGCATAATCTCTATGGACATGTGTAACAGTAGTGATGGGGAAACTATGAGATTTTCTAGGTTTCCCAATAATGTGGTCTTGTTATTTTGCAGGCAATGATTTCCCAGCCAGAGATATAGCCATATTCAAATATAAGCACACATCTGCATGCCCAACACTTACATAGATGCTCTTTGAATCATTCACCTAATACACTCTAAGTGTGCCTCAAGGGTCTACTTTCTAAGTGTGTATTATACTTCATTAATGATGATTAAAAAAACCCTCCCTGTTACTCAGATTCTGAATGTTGGACCATGTACTGTATCCTAAACTGAAGCAACTTATCAAAATTGTGACACCTGAAATTTATGGTACTAATGCCATCTTTCAAAATACATACAAAAATACTACATCTCAGTAGGTCATGTGCTTAGTATTTTAGCATGGGGGATCGGTTTGCATTAAGTCAGAATTTGTTTAAATAGGACTATTGTATTTATAAAGGTATGTTACTGACTTTACAACTTGGCATCTTAAAAAGATAATGACATATTTTGGTGGATATGAATTTCCAGAATCCTTTGCCAGGTAGGGAGAAAGGGAGAAACTGCATATAGGTTTTATGGCTTTTCATGAATAGACCATTTCTTTTTGGTCAAAAATACGAAGAAAACATGTTGGATAGAGATGCTTTTAGATTCCTCGTGCTTCCAGCAGCGAAAATACAAATAGTGCTCAAAAAATTCTTTTATATAGACATTTTAAAGGCAAAATTCTGAACATTACCTTTTTATTGTGGGCCAAGGGAAAGTATATTGTGTTATAAGCCTATTTTTCCCTGAATACATGTTATTCACAGTGTTTAGAAAAACTAACGTTTCTGCTAAGAACTTTTGTAATGAAGATTATTCCACATATTAAAATTTTCAATTAAACCGGTTGAACAGTGAGAAAATATAGAGAATGCTGTATTTAATCTCTTAAAATTCTGCATGGCTATAAATATTACCCCATTTATTTACCTTTTTGAAATACATAATGATGTATTTATTTTCAGGATTACAGCTCTACTTTACTCAAAATCCAGTTGTCTGGACCAAAATATCTGCTTTTTATGTTATGTGGTATGGCAGATTACTATTGCATTGAAGCTTTTATTCATAAGATATGTACTACACAAGGATGTTAGAAACAGCTTTGCAATAAAGGAAGCTCCGTGGTGGAAGCCAAGGGGCAATAGTGGATAAACTGTGCAAAAGGCTGCTTGTTTGGAAATCAAATTTAATTTAAAAGAGCTTTCAATCACTAGTTAATATAACTGCTTTAAATTTACAGACAGTGGGAGTAGCTCACCGTTACCCAAGTATGCTTCATCTCCCAAACCAAACAACAGCTACATGTTCAAACGGGAGCCCCCAGAGGGATGTGAGCGAGTGAAGGTCTTTGAGGAAATGGCGTAAGTAATGTCTTTTCTGTCAGCTGGGATCTGCAAAGCTGTAAAGCTTTTTACTGAGACCAGTTGATTACAGATGAATCAACTACTCCATCCAGCTGATAATGTGTTTCAAAAGCAAATTATGAAAAGAGAGTTGAATAGGCAAAAGAGATCTTATTGAAGGAGAATTAGAGTCTGTGTGCTGGAAATATGCTAATACAAAGAAACTTGGAAATTCATCCTTACTACCTAAAAGATTTATTTTTAATCATTAAGAATTTTCCTTTCAAAAGTTCTATTAATTTAGATGGCTAAAAAGAAAAAGACATTTAGCAGCAAAGTGAATATCCATGTGTGGCTAGCCTTAACGATAGTGATACCACAAGCCAGAGGGAACTCACTAACTCGTCTCCTTCCCTGTAGACACATCTAGCATGTGTATTCATTGAATTTAGACTTTCTGTTCACAGATTTTTTTTTTCTTTTTGAAAGTTCGGTACGTATAAAATAGAAATTAAAGGGAAAAGAGGTTCATGCTGTAAATACCTGGCAGAATAACTCAAAAAAAGAGCGTGTGGCTCTTGGACTCACTCATCCCTTTGTCCCAGTGCAGGTGCCCTAGTGGAGGCTGCTGCACTCTTGTAACCTAGAAGGGGACAGAGACGGGTCCTGCAGGAGTTGATGGCTTAGTTCCCGGGGAAGGGGAGGGGAGGAAGGGCTTGTGGACGCTGTTCTGTTGGGCTGACTCACCAAGAAACTACTGAAACTATTTTTCCTGATCTGTGTTAGTAGAAGTATGTATAGAGATACAGAGAAAGGAGGAAATGCTTAAAACCAAATATATGATTGGGTAATCCCTCTCCCAATGTACTTAACAGAAAAGGTCATTTTAACATCGCATAATCCATGTTTCTAAATGAATGAAAGCAAACTAATCTCTGAAAAATTCTGTCTGCCCAGTCCTTTTGAAAATCCTTCTGTTTTAAATGTCACCTCAGTGCTGTGTACATCAGTAGTGTGCCAGCTGACTTGTGCTATGGAAGATGTTTACCCCTCTGTGTACACTTAATTCATTCCCTGCCATCCACATTTTAGCTGTTTTAGAGAACTCCAATTAATTCAGAAAGTGCCTAACTTTTTAGTGATTGTAAACCTAATTTTGTTTTATGGTTTTAGGTCTCGCCAGCCTATCGCAGCCCCTCTCTTTTCATGTCCTGACAAAAACAAGGTTAATTTCATCCCAACCGGATCAGCTTTCTGTCCTGTAAAACTTCTCGGCCCTCTCCTACCTGCCTCTGACCTGATGCTCAAGAACTCTCCTAACTCTGGCCAGAGCTCAGCTCTGGCCACCCTGACCGTGGAGCAGCTCTCCTCCCGGGTTTCCTTTACGTCTCTTTCTGATGACACCAGCGTGACGGGCTCCACAGAGGCCTCTGTCCAACAGCCATCCCAGCAGCCGCAGCAGCTCCTGCAGGAACTGCAGGGCGAGGAGCACATCTCCGCTCAGAACTACGTGATCATCTAAAGCAGAGGGGGAGCTGGCCTCTACCCTGTGTTCCCTGGATTAGGAACTAGATCTCAGACATCTATCTGCATGGAGTGACAAACTTCCTGACACCACCACCAACAGAATACTTATCAGCATCATAAAGTATCTCTTAACACTGATCTTGGCAGGGACGGAACTCCTGTTCAGCAGTTTTTGTGGAAAGCAGTAATGCTTGCAAAAATGTGTGTATCATTCAGCATTTTAAGTGGAGACTATGCATTTCATAGTATGTTTGACAGATTAGTACTGTGTCCTGTGTTTTGTTCCAAACTCTTCAGTATAAATAAGCTCTATATCAGAAAGTTGCCTGTCTAAATAGAAAATGTCTTGCTGTGTTTTGTCCTATGGAAAAATACTGTACTTCAGAATTATGTTTACAATCGATCCAGGTGTTTGTTTCTAACTTCTGTAATACATACAATGCAAAAAAATAAATAAATAAGTGGCCACAACAGTTGCACAGTGCCCACCCTATGGCCTAGCTTCAGGTACTTCAGTTGAAGTCTAAACTCAGGTAACTTGGAATGTATATCATATTGGGATATTAACTATTTCACAGCTAAAAAGCTAAAGAGGGAACATCACTCTTTTGCCTTTTCTTATTTTATGCATTTCCCTTTCCTCATTACATTCCACGTTCTTAGAATAAGAAGTGCATTCAACCCTAGGAGAACAGAAATCCTGGACATGGGTGAACATGAGGAGAACCAGCAAATCTGTGGTGTCTGACATCACTTTTGTCATGTGGTTACACGTAAAACAACTGTTGCATTCACTGTTTCAACATGTGTAAATGTGGCTTTTTTTTTTTTTTTTAACAAGTTCAGGTGTTGCTCCGTTAATGACTGATACAATGTTGCAAATAAAATGTCCAGTACTAGGCTGTACAAAAACATTCCACCTTGTGTGTGTGGAATTTAAAGACAAGAATGTCTAGGTCTAATTTCAGGACCAGTGCAGTTTCACAGGAGGATGGCTGAGGTTTTTTGTTTATATTGGCCATCAAGGTCGTGAAATGCTACTGTTCTATCAAATGGCATATTAATGTTTAGTTTCTATTTTGGAAATTCTTTAATTTGCAGGTTAAGAAATGACACACTTTTGGTTATTGTTTTCCTCAAGCAGTTCGGGTGCATGAGTTGCATTCACACAGAGAGAGCATACGTGAGTCTCAGAATTCAACATAAGTAAGCAGGTTATGTGGTGACTTACCAATGCAGTAGTTTGAAGCTGTCTCTACTCAAGCCTCTCATAATAATACCATGAACAGTTCTGTTCACATTTTGGATGCACGAAGTAGAGCATAAACCCAAGTAAAGAGCCCTGAACTTGCAGACTCAACCTAACTTCTCCAAGTGTGAAGAGAGCCCTAGATATTCCTGACTGGTCAGTGGAAGAGCCCAACTTCAGACATTGTTTTCTGCAGCACAAAGAGAGTATTCAAAAGCAAAGGGAAGTTTCTTTATTTTTATTCCATTGCTTTCAGTTCAATAAAACTGTTTCATCTGCACCTGAAGTGTATGGCACAGTTTTCTTAAGAATTAGGGGAACAAGGTGCTTAGTTACAGGAACGTTTCAGTTCCTTTCAGTCATTCCTGGGTTTCCCTTTGTTTTATTTTCTAAGGAGGCTGAAGAAGGAAGAGTTGATAAAGAAGAAAGCAACACCATTGATTTTTTTTTTAAAAAAACAAATGATATATATGTGTGTGTATATGTTTGTGTGTGTATGTGTTCTGTGTATTATTTTGTCATGATCCCAATTATCTTCTTTCCACCAAAGTTTGCAGTAATATTCTCTCCTGAAGGTGCATTCTGGCTCCTTTAAATTAGTCAGTGTTATATTGTAGGAGACTGTCATGGGAAAGGACTCAGTTTACTTTTGCCATTTTCACAGGGGAACCTTTTAAAACAATCTATTCAGCAGAAGAAACCTTTAACCCTAATAATCTCAGGCCTTGATGAAAATACTATATTTTGTAGATTATGGTTAAAGGGAGAAAATATTAGTTCTGTAAGATAAATATGAGCTCCATTAACTTCTGATATCTGGTTTAGCATTACATAATGTGTTGATCTTATGCTCTGCTTTTGTCCAAATAAGATGCAATAGTATCAATATTAGTTTCTGAACGATGGACTGAATATGCTTTTTTTTGGTAATGAAATCTGATGTACGATATTTATAGTGACATGTGCTTTTATTTTCTCATGAGAAAACTAAATATTAATTGTGTTGTACATTTGTTCTTAGCATATATTAAAGTTCTGAACCAAATGTGTTAAAGCTTATGCTTTGCCATGTAAATTTCCCAGAAGTTGTTGAGCTCAAATGTATCCTACATCCAGCTGTAGAAATTTGTCAGAAATTGTTTAAATTTTGTATATAGTTGTACTGTTTAATTCTAGCCACTGCGCTGAACAGTATTCGAGTTACCATACAATATGGCTTTACACAAGGAAATGTGTGGCTTTTGTTTTGTATTTTTTCAGTATAGAAGTTCCTGTGTCTTCTTATTTAAATAAAGTTATTAGTAAAACTGGAATAGTTCACATATGTTTTTGGAAAGACTGAGCTTTTTAGCATCTTACCTGACAGGGGTGAATTCAGCTCAGGGAAGTGGCAGTATTCAGTACTCACTCAGTTCCTGACCTGCATCTCTGGGTTGTAGGTAGTCTGACTGGATCAGATTTCCACAGCCTGGTTTCCCCTTGACATTTAATTTACACACTTTCCATCACAAGGTAAGAAGCTAGATGTCTGAAGTTCCAAGTCTTTGTACTGCTCCCAGCTATGAGCACCTTAAAAAGAGAAAACATTGTCCCCATGTTGTTATTTTATGCCTAAGAATTATTTACGAAAAAAGTTTTTTAAGTTCAGTGAAATCACCACAAAGGAAGTTGCAGCAAAATTAAAAAATTTTTCACTCTTTATATACGTTTTCAGGATAATAGGTAGAAAAGCTTTATGGAACAAAGGAGTGTTGATGTTCTTCCCAGTTACCCAAATAGGGTCATCATAGGCCACGTGCTGGCTTGAAAGCAAAAACAAACCACTTTGAGAAATAATTTACCAGCCGAGTATTATTCTTCATTTCCGAAGCACATCTCACTAAAGAGGTTGATAAGATTTGACTTTTAAATTGAACTTAAAAATAACGACTCAGTAGCTGTGTTTCAGGCCTTAAAAAAATAAATATAACTTTTTAATAGTGAGTTTGATCTTCTTCAGGACAATATATGATTTAGGCAGGAAATTATCTACCTTATACAAGTTAAAAACTCCATTGCAAATGAACATGAAGGAAAACTGGAATTCTCAGCCCCATCTCTGCTTGACTTGATCAGATAATAAGCTTAATATTAAATGGCCCTGAGAAACAAGTCAGTATTTGCAAAATCAAACCTAAGGAACAAGGAAGGGGAAATGAGTTATAAGAATTTCTTATAACCCTGTGTTAGCTAGAAATAATCACTTAAAGTTTATTCACGAATATCGCAAAATAAATATTCACCTCCACGCCACAGTGTGAGGTGAGGTCCCTTCTAGCTCTCAAGTTCCGTTATCCCCGACATATTCCCTCCTGCTCTCTATGAGCAGCTTCCATCTTCTACCCCATCTTTGGTACTCGCAAGTCTTTCTTCCCCTGTAAAATCACTCCTTTGGGGATCTCAGGGCTCTGTAGAGCTGCAGGAGCTTTGTGAAGATAGATCCTGTAATTCACACCTTGAGTCAAAAGCTAAATGCCACAGTCTAGCCCCACGGTTCCAGTTGTCTGAAAAGCATCTCCTCAGACTTCTTGCCTCATTTCAACTGCAGTGATTAAATGCAACGAAGACACTCTCTTGTCCCTGTCACACCAAATCAGCTCTTCTCCTTTACACTCCTATTCCTCCTGTTTCCCAAAAGACAAGGACTGGAATTCTATGTCCTGAAGTTTTCTCCACCTAAATCAGAGTTGCCTTTCTGTCTTCCTGTTGTGTCACCACTAAATATCAAGCTGCAGAGACATGATGGTGGCAGATTAGACAGCCATGCCATGTGGATGAAATTTCTTTTGAAATAGGATTCTAATGGCAAGGAAACAAAATAAGTTTGCTGGACTTCCAATAACCTCTATAGCTGTAGACCAGGGATCAACCAACTACAGCCCATGGGCCAAATCCACCCCAATGCCTATTTTTATAAATGTTACTGGAACAAAGCCATGCTCATTTGCTTATGTACTGCCTATGGCTATTTTGCTGTACAATGGCAGAATTAAGTAGTTACCACAGAGACAGTCTGGCCCACAATGCCTACAATATTTACCATCTGGTCCTTTACAGAAAACATTTACTGACCTCTGACATAGACTAAAGACTAAACTAGATTAGGTAACGTGTCATAAATGTGGTGGTTTTAAAAATATGAACACATGGGTTTCCCTGGTGGCGCAGTGGTTGAGAGTCCCCCTGCCGATGCAGGGGACGCAGGTTCGTGCCCTGGTCCAGGAAGATTCCACATGCCGCGGAGCGGCTAGCCCGTGTGAGCCATGGCCGCTGAGGCTGCGCTTCCGGAGCCTGTGCTCTGCAACGGGAGAGGCCACAACAGTGAGAGGCCCGCGCACACCCCCCCAAAAAAAAAAATGGCCACAGTCTCTTCAGCAAGTGGTATTGGTAAAGCTGGACAGCCACATGTAAATCAATGAAGTTACAATATTCCCTCATACCATACACAAAAGTAAACTCAAACTGGCTTAAAAACTTAAAATATAAGACATGACATCATAAACTCCTAGAAGAGAAGGTAAGCAAAACATTCTCTGACATAAGTCATAGCAACGTTTTCTTAGGTCAGTCTCCCAAGGAAATAGAAATAAAAGCAAAAATAAACAAATGGGACTTAAAACTTATAAGCTTTTGCACAGAATAAACAAAACAAAATGAAAAGACAGCCTACGGAATGGGAGAAAACATTTGCAAACGATGAGACCAAC